TATATATATATATATATATATATATATATATATATATATATATATATATATATATATATATATATATATATATATATATATATATATATATATATATATATATATATATATATATAATTACATATTAATACATATAAGATTATAGAAATATAACTACTTTATACTTTATACCTTATATAAGATTATTATTATACATTAAAAGATGACCAGTAACGACACAACAATTTTGTACACACACACACACAGATATATATATATATAGGTTCAGGTGAGAATGCGATGTTAGGAGAGAAATGAGAATGAATCTGGTGCTTTAGAATGTGAGATCTAAGGATCAGGATTGCATCAAAATTAGATGCACCAAAATGGTTTAAAAATGCATCACGTCAAAATGCATCAAAATCCTTTGAAAATGCACTATTTGAAAATCTGAGCGCAGGATGCAATCTGAGCCGCACGATGCATCAGATCTAACGACTAGATTTTATTCTCATTTCTCTCCACAAGGTGCATTCTTACATGAACCGGCCCCTATATATATATATAAAATTACATATTAATACATATAAGATTATAGAAATATAACTACTTTATACTTATACCTTATATAAGATTATTATTATTAGTATTTTTCATTATTATTATATATTAAAAGATAACCAGTAACGACACAACAAGTAGATCTTTATCGTAGATGCGGTTAAACACTTTTAACTACGAAACCGCTTAGATACCACTTGTTAGTCTTTGTGCCCACGCCTTAGGGGGGTGAATAAGCCATTTGAAAACTTTTAGGAGTTTAATGAAAACAATGTTGGCAAATGCAGAAGCAATTTATAAAACGTACAAATAAAAGCGTAAATAAAATGCACATTGATTTTATACTGGTTTGGGAACCTCCTAATCTAGTACCTTAAAGCTTCTTCTTAAGGATTTCCAAATCCACTAAGTCCAGGTCTCTTGAACTCCGTCAAAGCACCGCACTAGTTTGGCAAACAACCCTTGCCAATAGGATTCACTTCGAGATTTACAGCGGCTATATCGAACCGCCTAGCACGAAGATATAACGGCTATCTTCTACCATTCCCCCAAGAATTTCAAAGGTTATCCTTGATCTTTAATCAAGGTATTATATAGCTATCCTTGACTGTTACAACGTGAGAATTTAACGGTTATTCTTGACCATGAAAAGATGTGTTTGAAGAACACAAAAAATGGTTCTACACAACGACTTGAATACAAAATTGAAAAATAAGACTTTAGCCGATGTAGAAGGAAAATTATACTCTCTCAAAAGATACAAAATAAACTTATGAATATGAGAGTATATAATTAAAACACAAGCTCAAAGTGTGTGTATAAAAATCAGGAGAATGAAGATCTTTATAATAGCCAAAATATGGAAAATAAAGAATAAAAGAATAAACACACTTAAAATATAAAGAGAGGATATTTAGAATTTTGTTACTTTAAGGAAAATGAAGGATTGGATCTATATTTATAGTGGATATATTTAGTAAGTCGTTGGAGAGTGATTGGGATAGGTGTTGACCAATTCAAGATGTTTAAATTCAAAATCAATAATTAGAAACAGTACTCAATGGTCACAGTAGGTACTACTCTCACGGTATCATGGTACCGTGCGTAGGGTAGGGGGTACCATGACTGGCGGTATCTTGATACCGTGTTTTTCAAAAAATAATCTAGCTCTAGAGGTACCTAGCCTCTAACGTTACGATGGTACCATGCCGACGGTATACCCTACCATGGGGACGGTAGTGGGTATTGTGCAGGCTACCATGCCACTGTCTTGGGTTTTCCAAAATTCCTTATTCCTTCTCGTTTGAGTTTAAAACATTTAGGATGTTTGAAATTGTTTATAGGAGGGTTTTAAACATGTGCACTTGAGCTTGTAAGTATAGGTATATAAAATCATATCCTTACATTGGTTTTTACCTATATTCTAAGCTAGTTTTGCATTTCAACTTCATTCTTGAGAACTGAATATTAATATATTCTTGTTGTACCTAAAACACTTAAACAAATGTTAGATCTTATATTATTTTTAACACCAAAACACGAGGTTCTAGCAAACCAAGGCTAACATAAATCTCCACGTACTCACCTTGATTCGTTCGTCGTATCCTAACACACATCATTGAATAGTCATCGCCGGAGCACATCTTCATTTCCTGAGGTCGTCATAACTATTGGAGTTTGTTCCTCCTACCGCCGATGTACCCACTGCTGCGCGATCATCGTCGGAGTCACCAACACCACTATTTCGCGTTGCTGGAGTTCGTTTGCCGGAACACCGTTGCCGTTGACCGCAGGTTAATTCACTGCTCAGAAGTCAACGAAGCAAGTTGGGGCTACCCAGGTCCGTGTCACCCTGCCTTACGGTCACTGGAGGAAGTCGCCGAAATAGGTACAGCTCGCCGGACTGTGATTGTCACCGTTAGATTAGGTTCACGCCATCGCAGTTGTGTTGTCATCGTCAATCGTCGCTGCCTAAGGACTGCCACGTCTCGCCAATTGGTGGAAAAAGTCGCTGGTCTTATCCTTGCCGCTGTTGTGGATGGTCTTTCCTCGCTGGTAATGGAGGTCGCCCAGGTCACCGGAATATGGATGTACGCCATCCCGATTGGATCGCTTTCGTGCATTTGGTTGGTGCGATAGAGTGATGAAGAGGAAGAAAAAGGGAGGACCCAACATCGGTTTAGCAAAGAAGGAGAATAGTGTTCCGGCGCAGGAGGCGGAAAATCTATTTATTACTCAAGCGTTTTGTGCTCCGTAATTTAATTTAACGTGTCTAAGTAAAAACAGACTTTTCAGGCCAACTTATTCCGAATTGATATCCGTTCGCGTCGTTGAGTTCGATTCATCGATCCTCACCCAACGATATAACTTTCATAATCAATCAACATTTATTTATAGGTTCCACCTAGTCCATCTTAATTCTTTCGATTAATTAGTACCGATTAATCTTTTAATTTAAATCTTTACAAATATAATCAGATTAGTTTCGTGATATTGAGACGATTAGAATCTCCAACATATCGTTTAATTCTTTAAAAGAATAGATTGCCGTAAATAAATAATTCTAATTTATTTATTTATTGATTAACTTCTAGACTGCTTTTGGGACGTTACAATTCTCTTCACTACTCGATGATCACCTGAAGTCACTCCCTTAAACACTATTGATTTTAGATTTTGAGCATCCATGTTTCAAACCTGATGTATGAATACTTAAACTAATTAGAAATATAGCATACTAGAAAAGATGATTATTTTAACTAATTAGTTAATTAACAAATACCTTTTCTTTGATCCAATTAGGAAAGCCTTCAACCAATCACTTGTGCTTAATTCTATCCGTTACCGCTCGAGGATGAGATTCCACGGGCTCATTCAAAAACAGCCTACAATGTTGAGGTTAAGTTAAATAATTATGTTACCAATGATCATCTTGAACTATAAATCTAGACACACATACATATGGTATTCATCAATACCATTGAGATGCAGAAGTACATATCGTTGAGCTTGTTCAAAATTTATTTTTTGAATTTTAACCATTCCCACCTTTCCTTTTGGTTCACCCAATGTACCGAAAAGTTAAACATCTTTATTCGTGCGACTATCATTTTTACGTCGTGGTCAATTGAAAATGGTTTCCACCTCTGTAAAGTACCTTGAGCAAAAGGTTATACATTCGTGTGCAATGTATCCTTCAACCATTGAACTCTCTGGTTTTGCCCTATTATGTACAAGTCATTTAAGGAATGCAAGAAACCTAAAAGGATCATTAACAAATATTAGACCACATGTATACACTTATGTAAGCATAAAAGAATATTTTTTTAACCTTTCTATTAGATACATCCATGATAGTAAAGAAAACAGGACCTCCAAACTTTGCCTCAACGAGCAAATGAATAATTAGGTGAACCATGATAGTAAAGAAATATGGTGGAAATATTTTCTCCATTTTACACAATGTAATGGCAACATTAGCTTTTATGTCATCAAATTTACACATTGAGAGTATGTTACTTGCGTACCCATCTGGGAATCTCACATGTTTTAACATGGTCTGTAAACATGATTTTTCTTCAGTGGATAATGTGTATGGGGCATCAGGGATTTCATACTTGCCATTTGGTAGCAAGATAGTATGAAGGTTAGTGAGGCTAACACAAATCTAACAATTTATTCGATTCGCATTGACCCACAGGGATACTAATTACGTTGTGCATCAATACGTGCTAACAATGATCTTGTTTACAAGATGAATGACTACGACACTTGTTCGCTTCAAATTAACATCACTATTGCTTAGATGATTAATTTAATTTGCTCTATGATATTGAGCAGCTATTCGATCAAGTTAATTACTATATTTGAGTATGGCTAAACTTGTCAGAACAATTTATTTTGCATTTTTTGTAGGATAAAGGAGATAAGAACTAGAAGATATTTTTCAAAAAAACTCAAAGACTAGCGAAGAACAAGGAGGACTAGCAAAAAGAGATAAATGATCTGATCAAATTATCATTTTGGCAGAGTAAAATTGATAAAACCGGTTAAAACAATTAACATCATCAATCATTTTGACTTGGCACGAAGATTAAGAAAAATTAAAAAGTGTAAATACTTTTCATTTTTTGTCCTTGATGTGTGAAATGAAGTAAATAGTGTAGATAAAAAAACAGAAATAAAATGATACATTCATTTAAAAAAATTTCTAAAATAAAACATGAGAAATTTTTTTGGACAATCCAAAATAGGAAAGTGAAAGCGTAATTAATGGAGGAAAGGAATATGAAAATAGATAATAAAAAAAAGTAGGGTTTTTTTTTTGGAAAAATTACCCAAAATAATCCCAACTTTACCCGGTCTTTCAAAAATAATCACACCTTTCACTGTGATGCATAATAATCCCAACTTTACTGAAATTTGCCAATTTTGGGTCGCCGTTAAATTTCTAACGGAGGGTTAACGGAAATGCCCGTTTTAGGCAACAAAATGAAAGTTGGGATTATTTTTGATGAATTTTTGTTTTTAATTTTTTTTTAAATTTTTATTTAAATTTTTTGAATTACTTTCAACCTCCATTTCTTTTTCTTTTTTAAAGATTACTCTTACCTTAGAAAAAAATAGATATAAAAAATAATGAAAATGAGAAAAATAACTAAAACCATACAAAATTAATCAAATAAATAATGTAATCAATAGAAATTTAACAGAAAATGGTAAGAAATAAAATAAATATATATGGAGTGGTGGGTTTTAACATTTTATACAATATACGGAGTCTTAATGTACTATTTATTTTTTAAAAGAACAAGCCGTCCGATAAAGTTGGAATTATTGTAGATAATTTTTTCTAAAAAATAAGAAGTGATATGTTAATACTTTGTATAATGGGTAAAATATTAAAACCACCTGTATATTTTTATTTTTATTTTATTTTTAAACTAAGACTAATCTTTAAAAAAGGAAAAAGAAATGATGATCGAGGTAGAAAGTAATTTAAAAAATTTAAATGAAAAATTTAAAAAAATAAAAAAAATGAAAATTCATCAAAAATAATCTCAACTTTCATTTTGTTGCCTAAAACGGGCATTTCGGTTAACCCTCCATTAGAAACTTAACGGCGACCCAAAACTGACAAATTTCAGTAAAGTTAGGATTATTATGCATCACAGTGAAAAGTGAGATTATTTTTGAAAGACCGGTTAAAGTTAGGATTATTTTGGGTAATTCTTTCTTTTTTTTTAGGTTAATGACTGATCTAAAAGCTGTGGTAGAAGGGTACAACTTGGTGTACAATTACCATCAGCATCACTCTAACTGCATTCACCGTAAAATGGAAGGCGTAGGATGCGACACTGTATGTTGATTGAGCAGGTCCGGAACCCATGTCGCCTTAGTCCAATGGCAGCCCGCGCCATGAACAACTTCATGATTATCCGCTCCGCCACGTATTCTCCGCCGTCTCTGGCGGCGAACTACAGGTGCTGCTGTACGGAGCTCCAATTCAGGACACGGCGGTTTCAAAGACACCTAAATTTGCACTCTCGAGTATCACTTCCCCGTTGCAAACCTTATTCTCTTGGACATGATAGTGTTCGGAGCTACTCGTTCCAAAGCCTATTTGAAACCGTCATGGAAGAGCTCCAATCGATGGGCAAACAATGGAAAATTCCTGCTTCTACCGAGTACTTCTCTGTCATTGGATTTTTCCTCTATGTTTACATCAAAATATATTTCTATTTTGCAAATTGTCATTCACTAAAAACCACAATAATTTTAGAGTTGAAGCTCATTGGATTGAGTTGAATTTGAATAAAACCAAATGCACATGGCAATTACTTTAAAGATGCAAATAAACTCCTGCAATGTTGTAGAGACATAGACAACGTTTTGTTTTGGATTGATCTGCAAAGACATAATAGGAGACAACAATCTGCTACATGATTCTGAATTGGCAAAAAATTTATACTGATGAGGAGATGCAATATTTACCTTTTGGGCTTTTATCACTCAAGATACTCTTATGCTGTGACTGTTAATACATCCTCGAGTATATCTTTTTTAGCTGAAGGAGTGAAGGAGGATCTTTATTATGTCTATATGAAAGTTTCACAGCTATATTCTTTATGGCGAAGTTGAATAAACATATGTGGTCAACTTAGTTTCACGTATCCTTTGTTCCAAAATGATTAATAGCCTCATGCAGATTGGGATTAACAAGCACTGGTGAGCTTTTTGAAGACAAAGTAGAAAAGCTAACAATACGAAGGGGATTGCTGCTGGAGTTCAAGAAAGACTCTGAAAGGGTATTGCTAGCAGTTGCTCTCCGACGTGACGGGAAAAAGAATTGGATGGTCTTGGATCAGGTTTACAAGATGCATAAGATGTGGCTATTAGTCTCGCCAAGTATTTGGGCTGATCCTTATTTTTACTTCTAATGGTGCAGAACGGTGTAACAACCTCAATTAAACCACAACAAGTTACTTTTATTGTTCCTGGTATTGAGGACTTTGACCCTATGGGCATATCAAACTTTGTCCAGAAGGCGTGTGATAACCTGGTTGTTACTTGTGCAATCTAGAAAGTATAAATTGTACTTTGCCCTCTCTAGTTTTTTTAGAAAGCTTACCTCTGTTTTGTTTTTTCAAGAAAGGATCCAGCACTACTTGAGTTTGCTTGGAACGAGCTTCTTGAGAATAATAAATCTGTCACGGTGGAGGACTTGGCTGAGGTGTGCATTTCATTTGTTTGTAATTGAATCGTTTGTACAATTAATGACTATATCCTATCTTAACAGATGATTTTTGGTAGTGCGGAACCTCTTGAGAGCTATTGTGCCCATCTGCTGTTATCTAGAGATGACATATACTTCACATTGATGGGGTCTAACTCTAAATGTTCTCATTCTACTTATGGACCTCGACCGCCTAGGCAGGTACTCCGTTTTTTAATAATGACTAAATGTTTTCAAGGGTAACTTCTGATAATTAGTAAGTTAAAGAAGTTAAAATGAACGTCTGTTTCATTCTGTTGTACTGCTAAGCTGCTTATATATGCCATGTATGTTGTTTACATATTTGGGATAGGCCTTAC